GGGGGAACACGGTGAGGGTGTGTACAGGTTTGCAGAGATGACCCGCAGCCTGACGCAAGCGCTTACCAGCATGTCGGTGGCGCTGAGGTAGTGCTTGCTGGCCATGCACTGCTCCAGTTTTTGAGGCACCTGCTTGATATTCTCAATCTCATCCAGCAGGGTGAGGACGTGCTTGTGCTCGATGCCTTCAATCCACAGTTTCCGCAGCTCATCTCTCTTGCAGTGTAGCAGCATTTTGCACGACAGCAGATTCTCTTTGACCTACAAGGAAACAGTCCATCTGGGGTCAGTACAAAGCCTTGCAGCCTAAACCCACAAGTAATCTGGTTAGTATTCTTCCCTGGTCCTTGGAGATGTCATTTGCACCTCTACTTAATCCCCTTGGGTGGCGGTCGTGCAAAATTCTAATCCTGGTTCTGACTTGGACTCACATGAGCGCGTCTCCACCTCTCTGTGTCTGTACTTTTTCTGCCGTGAAATGAGAAAACTATTTCTGACCTACCTCGGAGTGAATCTAGAAAAAAGTTATCACGAATGGAAAGCATACTGAAAATAAGAGGACCACAAAGAAGCCACGAGAGCCAAGGGAGCATCTCAGAGACTCAGGTCGATGCACGTCTTCTTCGACTCTGCCTTACCTGCTTCCTGCCCACCTGGCAGCCCACAGGGTCCCTCCTTCCACCTCTAGAATTCGAAGTGCTAAACCTCAGAAAAGGGCATTCTCCTCAAGTAACTGAAATAAGAGTAAACAACTAAAACAAAAGCAAGCCCAGAGTAGACTCAGCAGCAGATGATCCCAAAACTAAAGGGATTAAGGTTAGGGTTCAGCTACGTTCTGCCAGGTCTTCTGAAATGTTGATATTCAACAGGCCAATTCCCAGGACCCGAGTGTAGTAGACAGACAAGTACAAGAGCCAACACGTCAAATGGGGTGGAGAAGAGCAGGAAGGAGGGGGTCACAGTGAACATTCTAAGATCAAATTTTTCTTTTCTCCCATTATTTAAAACGCTCAGGTTTTACAACTTTAAAAAAGTAAAAAGAACCACCACCTTTCTTGATCAGCAAGAATACTTACACGCACATCTGACAGTTCTGACTTTTACGTAAGGAACCCTGGCCACTGAGCGGGTTAAAAACGGAGCCACCAGACAGAAACCAGTTCAAACCAAACTCATCAGCTGTCTGAAGGAGAAATGCCATCTACTCCCATAAGATCCACAGCTTTGGAAACCTGATGGAGGGCAGCTATGAACTAGAACCCTCAAAGGCATACTTGGAACTATTTTGGTTTAAATCTCGAACTCTTTTGGCTTGACGGTGCAGTGGTTAAATATTTAACTGCAAACCAAAAAGCAGAGCACTCTGGTGACCGACTGGTAAGGAGTTCTGCTGCCAACCCACAGGACATCCACGGTTCAAATCCACCAGCTGCTCCACGGGAGACAATGGGCAATCCCCTCCCACACAATTTACTGTCTCTGAAAACCCACTAGAGGGTCAGCTATGAGTCAGTTCCAACTCAACAGTATGTAACAACAACAATAATCAAAAGGCTAGCAGTTTGATGACAGCAATGATTTTTTTGTGTGTGTGTGTGAGGGAAAAATCACCACCAAAACAGTATTGGAGAAGCACTAGGTGGGTAGAAACGATGTTTAAAAAAAAAAAACTAACCAAACAAAAAACTTTTTAAAGACAAGTACAGGAGGGAACAGCAAATGCATGCTGAATTTTAGAAGCTGGCAAGAGGACAGATGAGAACTAAATTTGCAGCAAAAGAATTGTAAAGACCTAGGCGAGCCAGGTTGTGCTCTCACAGAACTCTTGTGGCCTAGAGGTAAGGAGTGGCGCCGTCAATCCAAAGGCATATGGTTCAAATCCAGTAGCTGCTCTGCAGGACAGAGATGGCAACCCCCTAACGTGTGATTTACAGCCTCTGCAAACCCGCTGGAGAGGCAGCTATCAGTCAGTCCCAACTGTACAGCACAAAACAGCAGCAGCAGCAGGGACCATGCTGTGCTGTCCCAGTAGAGACAGAAGATGACAACTTTCTACAGGAGTATTTGGGACCTAGATTCCCACCAGTCTCACACAGAGACACTTTCTTTCTCTCAACATTGGCCAAAACAAGAGGTTTGCAATGTGAAGAGAAGAGGTCAGAAAGAACTGGACAAGAAATGCCAAGTACAGCTGAGGAGACTGTGAGGCAGCGGACTGAAAGCAGAGAACGCTGACCAGGAAGACGCTCTGCCTTACTGTGGACCTGCAGCCTCTGACCATAATAAAGCTTCAAAGATGCTGACAGTGTAAAGTGCATCTCAACACAAGTCAGTTGTGGCTTCAGCCCAGAGAAAGTGGCCTAATCCAAGTCAAAGATCTACGGACAGTGACATCCGAGGTTTACAAAGAAGACTACTGGCCATCACTAGGGAAGTCCCCTAAAAGGCCCTAAGCCTCCAGTCAGCTTTGTAGCATCTCTCTTACACATAAACGGTGAGCCAAGGGCCACAAGACATTCAAGGGAGACCTACAATATGAAAATAAACAGAAGAGTAAGAAGAAGACCAGAGAAGGCAGAAATTATGTCAAGGAACAGGGAGGAAAAATTTATCCAAAAATCATTCATTTTTTAAAAATTTTATTAATTTTAATGAACATTTACAGAGATTTTGGATTTCCATTCATTCACTGTTGCACTTTTCTCCCTGCCCACCCCTCCCCCTCAGTTCACTCCTCTTTTTGAAAAGTAAAATTCCTTCATTGGTATATAATCCCCCCACACACACACACACACCCCCGAGTACACTCCACTATACAACTTTCACTCTGGACTCTTGTCATAACCATAATACTCAATCATATATTGCTTTTCAATTGTTTTCTCCCTCATCTGTTTCAATGCAGTATACATAGTTTATCCTTAAAACCCCTAGAGAACTCCTTCCTCAATGCCACCAAGTCAATTCCAGTTCATTGCGAACATCTGGGACAGAACAGAACTGACCCACAGGGTTCTCAAAGATGTAAATCATCATGGGAGAAGACTACCCAATGTCTATCCCACATAGTGACGGGTAGGCTTGAACCAGCAACCTTTTGGTTAACAGTCCAACACTTAGCCTATTACACCACAAGGGCACATTAGAGAAATAAATCAATGAAACAAAAACAGAATGCTATTAAAAATAAAGATAATTTTTAAATAGCTCCTAAGAATTAAAAGTCCAATAGAATGTTTTTAAAATCTAATAGTTTTAGAAGGAACCCGTAAGAAACTCTCTCAAAGAAGAGAGAGAGAGAAATGAGAGATGGAAGAAAACGTCATCTCAAAAGTTCAGTATTAGCCAAGTATGTCTTTTGGGAGACTTAGGTGGAGCGTAAAAAATGACAGGGGAAAATGGCGTGAATAAAATATCAATAAAATAAAATTTCAGAGAACAGTGCACATGAGTTTTCAAATTTTTTCTCCTCAAGTCAAGGAGTGAAAAAGACTCAATCCAGAACATATCCTGACATAAGAGATAGAGACTTCAAGATCTTCCAACGAACAAACAAAACATGATCCAGGCAAAGGACTGAGTCAGAATGGCATCAGACTTGTCTCAAGTACAACACTATGAACAAGGCAAAGGAGAAACATCTTCAAAACTCCAAAAGAGAGTTAATAACCAGAATAACTATCAATCAGGTATGTGAAACAATAAAAACCATTTCAGACATACAAGCTCTCAAAAACGGAAACTTATATGCACAGTAACTCAATAAGCTCCTAAAAGATGTGCTCCATCAGGAGAAGAAAACAGGGGATTCAGGGAAGAGAGGATCCAACAAAAAGAGACAACAGGATCATTCAGTCATTAATTCCAGGAACAGAGAGGATGATGATAACGAAAATCACACAAAACAGGACTGGTGGAAGCTTCAAACTATAGCCCTCAGTTACCTTTCCAACTTGCAGCAAAACTCACCTGGAGCCCCATTCCCCATGGCTCAACCTCCAGCCTAACAATTAACAGGTCCACAAGGTAGCCAATTAACACCAGGTAAGTGTATGCTCCGTAGAATAACCAATCCCTAAGGTCAAAAGAGCAGCATGCGTTGAAGGACAGAGCCCGGAAGGAAGGAGGGAAGGGACAGGGGAGAGGATTAACGCAACTAAGAAATGCAGGAAGTGCGGAGACAAGGAGTACACTGACACTGTGGGTATTGGAAGTATCGTTATGCAACAAAATGTGTATGTATGATTGAATGGAAAACTAATTTATTCAGAAACTTTCACTCAAATCACAAAAACACAAAAGGAAATGTAACTAAAGTATGTTATGTGGCTTAGGTATGGACATTTCTATAGCTAAAGATGGGTAAATGTTAGCGTAACTAAAAAGCAGGCTATAACCTCGTAGAGAAGACGTGGTAGCAGCAATGAGAGAAAGGGGCCCCAATCCTCATCACCGATAAGTGGAAGTCACCGTGTAATATCTAAGAAAGAAAAAAAGCCAGTATAAATATATCACGTAGAAATATAAAAATATAAATACCTTAAAAAAACCAACCCTAAATCAAAAAATGTCAGTGTCTCTGAAGTTACAGAATTGTGAATGGGAGAGGATGAGGTGGGGAAGTCTGGCTTTTAGCAGCATTTGTGGTTTACGGGACTTTTTATAGATATCTCCAAATTTATTCCTCGACTCCCTTGAACTCTTGGTCCCTGGGTTAAGAACTCTGATTTGGAATGCTGAAGCCCATTTTACTTCAAATCGTCATCAATTTCTGCTGGAATTTGATTTCTGATCTTCTACACATATCAGTTTAGTTCTCTAACTCTCAGTTTTCCCCTCCGCACGAGATGGTTACTATGGAAACAGTTAAAAATAAACCTCATGTCACACAACACTCAACTAGGCTCCTGACCAAGAAAGTGAGGGATAAATGTAGAGAGTGTCAATAAACCTTGGCAGACACCTTTCAGATTGGGAAAAGACGACCGTGGCATCTCCCACTAGGATATAAACAATGCACGCGACTCACTTCTCACTTCTGCTTACACATGGAAGGAGAAATGGAAAGGAAGGTAAAATTTGTAAAGAAAAATGCTGGCATCGGCTATGTAAAAAAAAAAAACAGCATCACCAAAACAACCCCCTCAACTGAGGTAACCAAAGCTCAGGCGTAAGGAGCGACACACACTGGTGTCAAGTCCTTCCAATTTCATGGAAACCATCTATCAGACTGTGAGACTGGAAAGCTTATGGGAGGAAAC